TTTCGAGAAAAATATTTGATGCGGAATTGGCAGTGATGTTGAAGGGCCAGATGATGGACCCTAGGATATGCGCCACTTAGGTGGACTCTGGCGTCCTCCTCGTCTGCGACCATCAATGTGTGAATTTCCCGGCACGACGTCAGAAGTGAGCGTTCTCCGGCAACATTGCTCAAAACCTCTTCTTCTTCTTCTTTTTTCGTCGCATTTTTTATATCTCGTCATAATATCTCTCTCATTTCTTTCCCAGAGATGGCTACAATGTTGCCGTCAAAAGGTGAGCATATCGAGTCACCACAGCCCACTTACACATACTAAATCCAACAGTCCGTCTCGCAGGCGTACGCAACTGCCTGAACACCTTCGCACGACATCGACCTATCATTTGCTATCCAAGCCTCAATCAAGAGCATAGAATCCCTCGCTTCCAATCCAATAATGCCATTGTTCGCACGCCACGTTCTTCTCCTCTCGGCCTTTCCGCCGAACAGCGACCAACAAGCGTAGTTGAACATGTCCTGTACGACCTCGTCCAATTCCCTTGCCATTACGTTTGCTGACAGAGTCGTGACATAGTACCACCTTCGATCAGCTCGTTGCCTGGGCACGCAATGGCTCCATGTGGCCCCTCACATTCGCCCTCGCCTGCTGCGGCATCGAGATGATGCACTCGTCTATGCCTCGTTACGACATGGACCGCCTGGGCATCATCTTCCGTGCCTCGCCGCGACAGTCAGACGTCATGATCGTAGCCGGCACCGTTACGAACAAGATGGCTTCGGCTGTGAGGCAGTGCTACGATCAGATGCCGGATCCGAAGTGGGTTATTAGTATGGGTAGCTGTGCGAATGGCGGCGGATATTATTATTACAGCTATAGCGTGGTGAGGGGCGTGGATAGGATTTTGCCTGTTGATATATACGTCCCTGGGTGCCCGCCAACTGCGGAGGCACTGCTGTATGGTATCTTTCGGCTGCAAAGGAAGATTCAGAAGACGAAGGTGACCAGGATGTGGTATCGCAAATAAATTGTGGAGGCAAGTCAAAGACCGGTGAGCCTTGCCCATGCTTCAATACCAAAACCACTGTGTGTAAACTCATTGAGCCAGCCAGAGAAAGACAACGATAAACTTCGCTGTAGTCGGCATAGTACGTGTCGTACTGCTACTGTTGAGCAGGTGACTGGAACTGAAGATGGAATGTTGGAATAATGTAGTTGGCATTAAGGTGAAAGTGACATAAAACATAGATGCCTGGCTATGAAACATGCTTCAATGGTATAATAAACAATTAACGTCGTCTAGAGCCTTTTATACTCAGCCCGATCTCATTTCGTTTCATCTTCCTCATCGCAGATACACCAGCCCCCTCGTCTCTTATCAACACATCATGACATAGACAACCACGCCGCCTCAACATTGGCCTTGGGGTCCGGCGATCCCTTCGCACCCTTCAGCCAGCAGTAGTTCTGGTCCGTACCCTGCTTGCCGGCAGTGACCCAGGCGACGCCGATGCATGGTCCGTCGGCACTCTGCGTCGTGACGCTCAACGCAGCGCACAGGTTCATGCAGTCCTCCATCCTGGTCAATGGAATGTATCCCAGGTCGTTGAAGGGATAGTTCTTGCCACATTCACGGACGAACTTTAGGTTGCTCCCGGGGACAGTGTACGTCTTGTTCTCGGCAGACAGGTTTGGGCAGTTGGTGGTGGCCTCACCGAAGATCGAGGAGGCTTGTTGGGGCAGGGGAATCGACGTGAAGCCGGTTGCTGTGGCGGATGCTGCTGCTGCCGTTGCTGTGGCGGTTCCAGAGGCAGTGTTTGATGCAGACGCTGAGGCTGTTGCCGCGGAGTTCGACGCTGCTGCTGAGGCTGATGCTTGTGTTGCTGATTGTTCCAGCTTACTGCGGCATGTGTTAGTGACGATGTTTGCCAAGATGACAACAGTGGGTGTGAACTTACGCATCGCATGTTTGGATGTATCCCGCGTACTGTTGAGCAATCGTGCCAGCAGCCGCCGACGCGCCAATCGTGCCGAGAAGGAATATCAACGCCAGCAACCCCATCCAAAACGTCGCCGCCCGGATGCCGCATACCCTCTTCTCTCCCTTTCCCGGAGGCGGAGCCGCCGCATAGTCCCCGCCATACGCCGATGGTGTCGGTACCGATTGTGGGTACGGCTGCTGTTGGTACTGCGGTTGTTGGTCATATCCCGAGGGGGGCTTGACGTTGTCTTGGTACGGCACGTAGTATCCTGGTCCGCCGGGCGCCGCAGTCTGGTAATGCCCGTCGCCGTTGTTGGCCACCTCCAGGCCCGCGTACTCGGCCGGCATCAGTCCTGCTTGGTACTTCGGGTCGCGAGAGTCGTCGGATGATGTTCGTGCGGAAGTGATGTTGTTGGGTGCCAGCGAGGCTGGGTGGCCCTCCGGAGAGCTCGTCGGTCCTGATGTGGCCATTGTTGGCGAGTATTCTTTTTGATCGACGACCTCGTCGCTTCTTCTTTCTTTCTTTTATCGCCTGGGTAAGACCACACACCTGGAAGAAAAGGGAAAGGGCTCGGATCTCAGGAACAGTCGGACGGATCAGAGAATAACGTGGTTTAAAGCCGACAATGAGCAACACGAGAAGGAAGCACAACCTTGGCGTAGGATTTCACGACGCCACGGTATTGGTTTTGGGGGGGTACAAGGTCTCATATAACATGCAATGGCACCCCAGGGCCCCCCGGCCAGGCTCTCAGTCTCGAAAGACGCAGGCTGCGATCCGTCGGCCGCTCTTCTCGCGATCGGCCGGTGGTGTAAGAGCCAAAAGTCTGCCCTGTCCCACCAAAAGCACGACCATCTTTGAGCTAATTGGGGGCTCGACCGGGGTTCATGATGCTGTGTTGCACCCAGGCGAATTAGAATCCATGCACAAATGTCGAAAGACATGGCCTCAAACGGACTAGAGCCGCCAGCCTTGCAGAGTACGATTTTCTCTCCTCTCCATCGGGTCTCAGGCACCCGGAATGGCGGCCAATAGCGTGAGGGTTTATACGCCAAACCTTTCTTGCCAGTCCAGCATCCTTGACGCAAGCGGGCGCCCGCTAGCCAGGGGTAAATAATAAGCACGATACTAAAGTGCAATTGGGGACCCGGTCCACGGTCAACGGTCGACAGAACACTGACCGATTCCGGTTTACGGGCCGTGCGTTCTCTGCTTTTGCTGCCTGCAAGTTGAGATGACAGGGTCGCTGGTGTGATGAAACTGGGTTCGATTTGGCAATGAGCTTCAAACTGCCTTTGCCCGTTAGGGTGCTATTGGCGATGCTACCATAGCCGCAGTCGATAACAAGCTCGTCTCACAGACGGACTTGGCTGGAAGGCTGAGCCACTGCTCTGCGGCCGGTTCCTTGGTTCCCGTTTTTGGGGACGAAAACGAAAATCTGCGCGGCAAGCTGAGCAATCACGGCGTCACACGAAGCCGGCGAAGCCTCCACGGAGACCCGGGGCTGAGATGCAGCACAACACTACTGTCCCGATAAGCCGGGATGGGTGTACGGCCTTGGTTAGGGCTGAATGAGTGCTGAACGAGCTCTTGCTATCAAGCAGCTTGTCTGCGATCATGGAGGAGATATTTTTGATGCACTCAACGACGTCTTCAACGTAAAACGTGGGAGCCTGATAATGGATGAGGGACTGTCCCATTTCTCATCGTTTATTCCCGCTGAAAGGCGTAGATGATGACATTCAGCGACTGCTCCACCGACAGCCCCAAAACCGTGGGCCCAAGGCAGCAGAGATGCTCAGTCTCTTTTGCGGAATTTGCGGAGTTGATGGGGTCGCGACGCAACTGGAGACCGCTAAAACTACTCTAGGCAGAAGGATTTGGACCCTTGTCAGCAACAAATTGTGAGAATCTCGCTAGATGAGACGCTTGCTTGCCGGTTTCCTGCACGGTCTTTTGGCCTTCACCAAAGTCCCTTTTCTTCTGCCGCGGCGAACTTAACAGCTTTCTTCCGAATTATTCAGCAGGTGGGACGTTGTTAGCTTAACTCTAAAAGGTAATTCTTAAAAGCATGGTTGGGGGGTTGGAGCACTGGTCAGTCGAGATGCTAGGGAAGAATAGCGCATGACTCGATGTTGCTTAGTGGTTCGTCTTCGGAGTCCAAGTCCGTAAGACGGTTTCTTTGCAACTGGGTGTTCTCTCATGCATGCGGGCTTGCTACACCTCTGCGGTCATGGGTACAACTGATGGGATGGACATCCCCTTTATTACGTGATCAGAGATTCGATTGCTATCCCAGAAACCCCAAGCACTCCTTGACAGCTGCACGTTCTGTTAACTTTTGAGCGCTGACCACACCACCATCTCTTGCAGCTTACGGTGGCCCATGCCATCCCCGTACCCACGCGGGAGGGACTTTGGCTTTGTATGGCTCGACAAGTCACAACGTGGTGTTGGAAGGTGAGGGCCTTGTAATCTCATTTCTCTCCGCTGGTTCCTTCAGGGCAGAATTCCTGCGAAGTGATCAACTTCCTTTCATGATATCATCTGGGGTACGGTAACCGTACAAGCATATAGTAGCTTGCAGGCCCCTAGAGCCGCTTCGTGATTTATTTGCAAGGCTCTGATGACAATTTACCCTGTAGCAACTGTCGTTTATGTGTTATTATGCTTACCGAGCGGCGGGTTTGTCTCGGGCGTAGCAGCGCTGAAGTTGACTTGGGCCAGAACTACCTGCACGAACATGGCGCAGTCGCCAACAACATGCAGCATAGCCACCGACGAACAACATCGCCAAGCAGATCGGACATCAGCAAGACCACTCTTCTCTAAATTCAACGTCAGCGTCATGTAATCTGTTACTTGCAAGACCAGGTAGCTCAGGTGGTAGAGTATTCACACAGTAGATGAAAGGTCGCGTGTTCAACTCATGCCCTGGTCGTGTTCCTTTTGTTTAGTTATTTGAGACGACTTCAGGCCTATTTCAGTCAATTTAAATGATATGGTATATCTCTGAAACGAGGCCAGGTAGCTCAGGTGGTAGAGCAGTGTAACCTTGGATTCACAGGTCGCGTGTTCAACTCATGCCCTGGCCGTGTTCTCTCTTTGGGGTAAGCCTTTTGAGAGAACTTCTCGGCGAACAGCATCCACTGCACAAATGAGGTGGTGTCCAGAAATTTCAGGAGCCAAGTCAATCAGGCAGCGACAGAACCACTCACTTCTAGTCATATAAACAGGCTAACAGTCGTTGTCTTTCATCTAGGTAGGGTGAAAGACCAAGTAGCTCAGGTGGTAGAGCAGCATCCCTGTTCAAGGTGCCGGTCGCGTGTTCAACTCATGCCTTGGTCGATTTCCTTTTTGGATAATTCTTCTCAAGCAAACTTCAACCCAACAATCGCCGATCATTCGTTAGCATTTAATACCAAGCATCTCAGGCGGTAAAGCAGCCAATTAGCTTCGATCGCAAGTCACGTAGTCAACTCATGTCTTGGTCGTTTTGGTCTTTTTACGCGTTCTTCCCTCGTTGTCTTGTGGCTGGGGAAGCAGTTAGACAGTCAAGTATCACGACACTCAATTCTCAATACTATTCCAGCTACATTTCAAACTTATGCTAAGATCTTCGAATGCAGGGGGAAAGACGATGCCTAAAACCATATTAGTCGACTTCATTCAACTTCAAGCTTAAGCCAAAGAAAGACGAGCGCATGTACGGCCATCGGAGAATATGTCAATCGCCAACGGCGCTTTGGAACTTGAGGCAACCATGTAAGCGGGACATGACAAAAAGGCTAAAGCATGATCGCTTGGTTAGTTTACCACTGCGGTCGTTCTCGCAAGTCAACTCTCTCACGTTAGCCAAAGTTGGAGTCAAAATAGTCAACCTATGAGACGAGCGCTGTTGGAGGAAAGAGGTTCATATAATCGTTATACTTCCCGCTAAGAATGCGGCGACAAAGGTAATCTTAGCAGCACGTTGCCTTGGGCTGAACCACCCCTAACTCCCCGGAACCGAATGTTCGATGTGGAATGTCCACTCAACGTCGTCGAATCCATCCCAACGAGTGAATACTCGGGACTTGGAAGCCAGATGGGGACCCATGAAACTTCAATCCAACAACCGCCCATCAAGATCCTGAAATACGTTGTAAATGAGTAAGTAACCGCCGTGGCGAACGGAAACTCGGGGCTCGCGAGCCCGTGTATCTCCGAAGGCCGCGCAGAGAGCTCGGTCCCGTCATCCCATCTCTGAATCCTCAGAACATCCCATAATCTGGGGTAGAGAAACGCGCTCGAGTCGCAACAGCACCAATCCATCGCGCTGAACCTGGAGTGATTGGGCCAGCCACGCCCGCTTTGAACAGCGCGTCCTCCCAGATCGAATAATACTCCAAGTCAGCCCCCAACTTTTAGGGTCGTGCGCTGGGCGGACGTCCGACGCGGCTGATCATGCAGCCGACAGCGCAGCGCAGGAGGAGCAGATCTACGTGGCTCGGAAGCCGAAAAGAACGGCGCCGGGACGTAAGATAACTCCTGCAGGAAGAGACTGGACGAATATGTGCAGTGTGAGACAACAATGTCGTGAAACGTAATCGGTCCCGGGGCGTGATTCGTCCCGTTTGTAGAACGCCACGCGTGAGATGGTGGGTTTATAAGCTGCGAACCTCCCCCGCAACTTTCTTCTGCTAGCTTAAGCAGACTTACATGTGGTTTCCATCTCTCATACGACGTCAACCCAACTGCCATTCTTATTAGAGATCACATATCACATCTCTCATCCCATATCAGCAACCATGGCCATCGCACCGTCAGGGGTCAGCCGGCCCTCCGAACTCGCCCACCTCGTCCTCCGCACGAACAACGCCAAGCGGCTCGTCGACTTCTACACCAAGTTCCTCAACGCGCGCGTGGTGCACGGCTCGGAGCTCATCACCTTCCTGACGTGGGACCACGAGCACCACCGCCTCGCGATCCTGCACGACGCGACCGCGACGCCGCGGCCCGAGAACAGCTGCGGCATGGACCACTTCGCGCTGACGTTCGACTCGCTCGGCGCGCTGCTGACGTCGTACCGCGCGCGCAAGGAGATGGGCTTCGAGCCGGCGTACTGCGTGCACCACGGCATGTCGACGAGCATGTACTACCGCGACCCCGACGGGAACAAGATTGAGACGCAGGTAGATGCGTACGAGAAGCCCGAGGACGCGGTGGCTTTCATGATGAGCGCGGAATTTGCGAAGGACCCGCGCGGGCCAAGGTTCGATCCGGACGAGATGCTGAGGAGGTTCGAGGCCGGGGAGGACGAGAAGACGTTGATGGTGAGGGGGGCGGTGGCCCCTGTGAGTGCGGTACAGGCTACTGCTTAGGTATATGGGCGTTTGGCTCGGTGTATGAGGTTGTGGCTGAGGGTTTTGCATCGGTGGTCGTTGGCGATGGTGCCATTATGATGGGTAGATGAGGGCTGGTACCATAACGAAGATTCAGAATGAAATCAATCACTTTTCCATGCCGTGCTCCAACATTGAATAATGCAACGAATAATTTGGTGGTTTGTTACACTTGCGGACTAGAGCTGCAGCCGCGAAGGAGATACATGGTAGAGGATGCGGGCTTAAATTAAGACTCTTTCCAGTGCAAGACAAGACATCTCAAACATGTCAAAGTCAAATTAGCAGAGGCCGTCTGTGTGTTCTTTAGGGACCTTGACAGTGTTTGCCTGTAATAGGATCGATACGATGCCATGTAGAAGGATTTTTGGGACTGAGAACCTGTAAGGTTTCTGAGCTTGTAAAGAATGTCGTCTAATTAAGCCTTGAGTTCTTACAAGGATATGCACCACCACTTGCTGCATGTAGACCAAGATACATTGGAACCAGTGAGTTTGCTGATTATTGAGCGTCACTGCTTGGGGCCACCAGACGTGTACGCAGAGCAGCCAATGAACCATTTCACCCACACTGATAATCTAAGCATAGGAACACTTCGTCCTATGTGCGAGAAAATGTTGTCAAGACAGAATGTATGCAATCGTTGGCCTCGCCCATTTATATGTAAAGACAGAATGTAATTTATACTGTAGAAGCTAATACAGGTCGTTGTCAAAGTATCCAAGGCGTTTCCACTCAACGTTCAATCAACGTAATCCATCAGCCAGCCGCTTTGTCGCTCAGGTGCGGCCAGACCACCCCCCGCTCTAAGGTGGCGCGAGACGGGTGAGCAGGGTGATCCGGCCTCCAGGCATCTTTGCAGGGTCCAAATGCCTTCCATTATCCTAGCCGCCCGACGCCCGAGTGAGTCGTTTCAAACCTAGCAGCTGATGGAGCCCCATTGGTTCTTGGTTGCGCTGTACCAGACCGTGTTCACAATGCCGGCGGTGCAGCCGGAGCTGCCAGTAAACTGCCAAACCATCTCGCCGTCATATTCGCCGCAAAGGGTGGAAGTTTTGCCACAGGCGCCGTAGCCGTTGAGGTTGTCCCACAGGCCGCCACACTTTCCGGGGATGTCGACGACGCCGGTGGCTCGCACTTGCCAGATGGGGATGGCTTTGTTGCCGAGGTTTTGGCAGGAGGCCGCGGAGGCCAGGGGCGTCATCGCCGCGACGATCAAGGCAGCTGCGGTGGTGAAATGCATTTTGATGTTGGGGTTTTTGGCGTCTTGAGTTGATGAGCTCGAGAAGTGGGAGTTGTCAGGTGAGAAGATGAGGGTTGCTTGTTGTGCGATGAAGTTGAGGTGAGTGAGAAGGGTGAATTGTGAGTCGAGAGAGGCAGGAAAACAGTTGTTTATATATCCTGAAGACTTGACTTGCAAATGAGAGAAGCTTCAACGTCTAAGTGATTCCGACTCTGGGTCCCCATACCTCTCCCCCAGCCAGAACTCCTCATGCGGTGCCTCGTAACAGATTTGATCTTTTGTATTGTCGTTTTGATCTTTTGTATCGTATTGCAATTAAGTTTCTCCACATAGTTGTGGAAAGAGTTGTGGATAATTCGGCTGCCTAACGTGTGTCCGGGTCCCTTCAGTCCTTTCAGGGTCCAAGATCCACTCAGTGGATAGACGATGCTAGACCGCCATTACCACTGATGCGTTTAAACACAACATAGCTTTTTTTGATCGTACTATAATAGGGTAATGCGATTTACCAAAGATCCTCCAGGACATGATAAATGACCGTGAATCATTTCTTAACTCGGATTGCTTACTTGCTTCGGGCAGCTCGGAGCTGAAGCGCCCTCCCGAAGGATGAAGTTGCGAGTCATGTCAAAGTCAGATAATTCAACGTTAGATGCCTCTTCGCAGAGCACGTTCCAGTGCCAGCTGTGTTGGCATCAAACGATTCGCTGATTGATAATTGAAGCTCAGGGCAAAGAAATGAAAGGCATACACGGCGTATCGACTCAGAAAAGTTGGATGCGTTACTCTCCTTCTCCAACTTTATCTATCAGTCTCGCTCCTTCGGGGTGCCCCGGTCATACGCGTTGGCTCCGGCCAGGGCAACAAATTCTTAAGGGGCCGTACACATCGTGCTTTGGGCTTTTGGTGGTTCTTGGTGGTTTTCTTCCCAGAGATCACGAAAGTGTGAGCTGGGAGGATCAAGGTTCCTGTTGGTGCAGGTTTGAAGGATTCAATTGAGTCTGACAGCATCCCAGAAACTTTATTAAGCACTACTGGTTGCACTAACAGGGGAGTTGCTCACCTATTCGCCCGTTGATGCTGATCACCCACGAGCTTGGTAGACCGTAAAAGCAGTCATTGCAGGGTGAGGAGTTCGGTGACGTGATTGGACTTGACAAGTCGATCAACAAAGCTTAACGCCACTGAAGAGTGGGCTGTTTTGCGAGCTGTCATGTGGCTTGAGTTCCATCAGATAACTGTATTGGGGCTGTGTCCTAATCTCTTACAACCTTCCAGTCATCGTATCAAGATAGACTTTAATTTCGAAGTGATGCTTGACAGGTCACCAATCGCAAAGGTTAGAGTTGTCTTGAAATCTGTGCTGAGCCAGGATCGCCTCACTACGGAGTTGTGGCCGAGGGGAATTTTGAGACGTACAACCAAGCTTCGTCTAGCTTACAAAGAAAAGTGTTCAACAAGGAGATGTGGTTTGCGGCGTAGGTAGCGGGGTAAATTGATGGAGAGGCCTGGGCACCCTTCACGTTGGGAACACTCACCAAGGTGAGTTCAAACCAAACCTTCTATGTGAGATCTGCTCGTCCATCAATTCTCCACGGTCCACATACAATGTCATCGAATTTCAGACCTCACTGACTGCATCATAGCAGGGGACATGGGTTGAGTTGCACGTTGCTGAAGGTCCCCTTTCCAGAAACGTTCTCTGTCAATGTTGTTACTCG